CCAAAGCAGCTTTGGATCCACTTACCGCACTTCAACAGCTTTTTTTAGTGCGAATCTGTTTTTCGGGCTGCCGGCCTCTGTGGGTTTACGAGTATCCCCTTTGAAGACATAAACTAAATAAGATTAGGACCGCAGCCTGACGCGTTGCAAACTGTCGCGGTGCGGTAAGAGGGCTCCGGGATATTTGAAGTTGCAGTTCATCCTACTTTTGGTGATTCTTGCATGCTTTTTTGTTGAGCTAAGAGGTTTGTTTCAAGGATTTTGGGTGTAGGCCTCAGGATAGCTATGAACAATTCCATATAAATTCTGCAATTACGACGTCCACGGTTCTTGAAATGAACTCCATGTGGTTAGTTTTGTATGTGAGTCAAATGAAAGAACCACCGGAGAACTCGTCCACGTTTCGTCGCTCTCGTCGCCGGATCTATCCCTATGTCGCCCTGTCAACGTGTCAGCAACTCTCACAGTTTTATTCTAAACTGTATTAAGGCAGTTACCGAGGCGATTGGTCCTGACAAGAATGCCGAAAACCTCGTATCCATTCTAACATGCTTGAATTCATTAATGTCTACTTTCTGGAATGAGGATACAGATAGTGCTGCGACTTCTGCAGGGCTACCACCATTACCGGCGATTCCTGCCGTTGATGTGGCATCTTTGACATATGACGGCTTGTTCGACACCTTGGCCTCCCTCCAAAAGACGTTCGGTGCAGACGAGTTGACATCTTTTGTAGTGGTGATTCAATTATTAAAAGCTTCTGCGAAGAATGATGAAGAAAGAGTGATCGTCGATACGGTAGCTGCTGGATTGGAGCGTATTTACAGCCTGAACTTTGAAACAGATCGAAGTGAACGCACAAAGAAACTAATCTCAGAGAAAATGAAGCTGAAACGACTGTTTGAAACGTCTGAACAACGTGAACATCGTCTCCAACGAATGAAAGAACGATATCGCTTGCAGAGAGATGCAGCAAACGGTAGTAAGCCGGACAGACGTAGAAGGGAATACCGTCAAGACTCGGCTTCTCCAGCCGATCCTGAAGACTTAGCTGCCCAGGCAAAGGAGGAGCGACTTCGGCGATTACGTGATTATCAAAGGAAGCGACTGCTAAACGAGAAACCCGAACAGAGAGCACGGCGATTGGCAAAAATGCGCGAGAATCAGAAATTACGTCGAGCGCGACAAATGGCAAGTCGTA